CCAATACTGTACCCTACCATTTCTCTTAATTTCTTATGCGAGAAACTTTTCTTATTTTTTGTGCTGCTTTGAGTTGGACTTTCTTCCTTTCAAGTAAAAGTAAGCCTAACCAATAAGGAAGTCAAGTTCTGTACTCTGTGACTGGAAAATTGGATAAGTACTACTTACCTCATAAGAGTTTTAAGGAATAACTGAAATATTATAGGTGAATGACGATTTGTAATTATAAAAAACCCCACAGATTTATAGTTTTATTATATCACTACAAATGACACTTGTTTCTAGTGGGCAGAATGTTGTGCAGAAAATCAGGCTGGCTGCCTTTGCTGCGTATCATTATGTGAATATTGTGCATATCACCAGATACTTTAATGATTGTGCTGTAAAGCAGAATTAAATGGTATTTATTTAAACTGTCTTCTAACTGTAAATTGAGTATAATCGTTCCTGGATTCCCACCTGAAAGTCCTGTATAGATTAAGACATTAGAAACAAAACTTTTTAAATTGAGGAAAACAGCATTTATTGATTGATTGATTGATTGATTGTACCAGGGATTGCGCGTGCAAGGCAAGTGGTGTATAATCTGTTAACTAGTCACGTGGATGCTTTCCATTTTGCAAGTGTTCTTCTGATTGTGATGCCTTTAGAACCAGAGAAGCTCTATCTATTGTCATTATACTTTATGAATGACAACTCTTAAACTTTATACAGATAATAGATATTTGCTTTCTAACCTGATTTGCTATTCTGTATCTAATAAATATTAGTTTTTTCTGTATCATAATTTGTTATCCTTTTTTTTCAAGCTTCAATTGAGTTTATTGGTACATTTTAGGGATACAGTACAGTTACATTCATTGTTGGGATCTTTCATCCTTTCTTTTGCCATCTCCCTATATACATTATTTCTAAATGGCCTACACATAGACACTTAAATGCTCTTCTTGTCACCAATATCTACTTCTGTCTCTTTCTTCATTATAAAATGACTTCAAAGAAGGTAATTTTTAAAATGCTTTCTGGTTCTTACATTCCATGACATCAACTATTTTTCTGATCATTTAAATCTTTTTTTTTAATTGATGTTTTGGTGCTGAGGATTGAACCCATAGTCTCATGTATGCTAAATATGCATTCCATCCACCACAGAGCTGTACCCCCAGCCTCTAAATTCATATTTAAATTTTTTTTAATTTTGAGAAAAGGTATCATATTGCTCAGGCTGTCCTCAAACTTTAGGGCTCAGCAATCCTCCTGCCTCAATTTCTCAAATAGCTGGTACTACAAGTATACTCATTTAATTCAAATTTTTATGTCCTTTTGAGAGGTTTTTTTTCTTTTTTCTTTTTACTCCTAACACAAAGTACGTAATATCTTTTCCACACTACTTCTCTTAAGTCTCCAACACCAAATCAGTGTTGGTACAGTTCAGTTTGATACCCACAGTTAACTACCTGGAGTTAGCATTAGAAGTCATGGGCTCAAGGGCTCACTTTCTAAGCTACCCTTACTTTACCATTCTAGTTGAAAATAGCAAACCCCAAGTTACCTGTACTTTTTTCAGACTTGACTGCAAAGTTGGTAGCTCTCAAAATCCCCTCTTCAAATGTCATGATTTGCTGGAATGACTCACCTAACTTAGAAAAATGCCTAACTTACTATTACAGTTTATTTAAAAGATGCAAGCTGGGTGTTGCTATGCATACCTGTAATCCCAGAACTGGAGAGCATAAGTCAGAAGGATCACAAATTTGAGGCCAGCCTAGACTACACAGCAAGATCCTGCCTCCAAAACAATTTATATACATACACACATATACATGGTAATGATGAAGACCCAGAGGTAATTCAAACAAGGTCTGAAAGCCCCAAGTACAAGAGCCTGTTTCTATGCAATTAGTATATATCCTATACCCTTTTGGCACAAGGATGTGATTGTCAGTTCAGAAACTCTCTGAACCCTGTTGTTTTGTTTTAATGGACTTCTCATTACATAGGCATGATTGATTGAATCATACATCATTAGAGAATTCTGTCCCTAGCCCCTTTACTCTTCCCTAGTAGTTGATGCAGTGGATCTGAAAGTTCCAGTCTTAATCGTGGCATGGTCTTTCTAGTGACTAGCCGTATTCTGAATGTCTGGGTGCTCCTCAGCCAAAAGCCATGTAATTGACATAAAAGAAAGACACTTATCAATCATGAACTAAGGACAGAAACCAAGCATTTTTAAAAATTAATCACCATTATGCCCATGGCACAAGCTTGAAAGACTGATAATGAATTTGTCCTGTTGTTTGTTGGATATTTGCATCATTGAATTCCACATTTTCTTGTATAGTGTTCTTTTCTGGCTCATGTTGTTCCCAGCAGAACTAATCCTACTTCATAATTGTACTAGTCAAAGTGACATGCAAGAGAATGCTTTCATCTTCTAACAGTTATTCTTTATTCAAGAGATATTTAGAAAAAAGTAAGACTTCTTTCTATACAAGTATGGATTGGAATATGTAAAATAGTGACAGGAGAAGGCCAATGAGGCTTTAATCTCTCTGTTCACAGTGAAGCCTGAATCTTCTTGAGAATGTGGCAAGCACCCTCAACTCATTATCCATATTGACCAGCTACAATGTCATTCATTTATAATTACATTTTAAGAACCCCCCCATACCCCCTTAGTGAATGTCTTGAGAGTACTATGTACAGAAGTACTGATTTTTTCCTCTTCCAAAATCTTCATTCCTACCCTTCATTAACAGTTTAAGAGGGGCTTAACCTTTGGTTTTCTAGATATTTCAAATTTCTATGGAACTAAGGAATTATTCCTGATTTTTTTTTATCCCTGTACAGTAAGTCCCCGACTTAAAAATTGCGAACAAAAGAACCTCACATTACAAACATTCATAGATGTGAACAAATCACAGAAGCAGGACATTGTCACAGTTGTGTTCATCTTTGCTTACTATACAGTGTGATAGTATACAGTAGTACAGTACTCAGTCAGAGCCCAGAATGTCTGGAAGCAAGAGGAAAAGCCATGGTGATGTGGAGGAAACTGCTAGGAAGAGCAAAGCAATGTATTGTATGTTTTATGTTTGTATCAAGGGTGTATAAAACTCACTTTGTTGAACGGACTTACAAACGTATTTGACTTAAGAATGTTGTCCTGGAATGAAACTGCTTCGTAAATCGGGCACTTACTGTAGATAGTCTATATTGTGGGCCAGGGATTTAGCTCAGTGGTTTCATGACCTGCCTCACAAGCACAAGGTCCCAAGTTCAATCCCCAGTACAAAAAAAAAAAGATAGTCTGTATTGTCCCATGACAATTTTGAATATTGTGGTTCTGTAAGGTGAAATGAAAGTATGGATCTGATAGCAGATTGACTTTAACTTTACCTGGGATTTTGCTTTGGGGTTGGGTTTAGACCCAGTTGAATGTCCCCTGATCTACCCCACTCTCCATCTCACATCATGGATGCAGCTTTTCTGTCTTTCCCGTCAGTATCCTAGTATTTACCCTCCCTTCTAGGATGAAAAAGGAAGAGATTGGAGTTGACAGAGGGTCAAGAAGAGTGATATTAGAATATAATTCCCACCTTTTTTCCTCCTTCCACACTTAAAAAGAAGTAGTTATTTTTGCATCCCAGAGGATACAATCTGTCATGGAGGTTTTAGATTTTAATTTTCCCTTCAAGATATTTGTTTAAGGAACACCTGTATTTCCAAATATGATTAAGATTTCTTAAACCTTGAAGTATAAAGAGGACCAATTATAGCCATCTGCCATATTGTAAAAACATTTAGTCCCAATTCATTTAGCCTAACTGTAAAAAAAAAAAAACACCAACTCATGATTTTAATAAATGTACATTCTTTATGTTTTTGTGTATCTTCAGTTCCCAGGTTCTCCTCATTTCTCTGTGTTCAATAGGATAAGCAACATTTTTTTAAAGTGGGTGTGTTGAGTGAATTAGACACATTTACTTCATTGAAGAGTGATGAATTTTTTTAATTAAAAAGAAACACCTTATTACAAAAATTTATTTGACCTTATAGTCATTGCTTGTATCAGTTTTTTCCCCCCATTAAGTTTATTTGGTACATTTAAAGTAAACAATATGGTTACATTTATCATTGGGATCTTGTACCTTTATGTAATATATCTTGGTTCTTGTTTTTCCCCTCCATACTTTTGCCCTCTCTTCAGCCCCTTCACCCTTACCTATATACAAAAACTTTGTTTCCATTTTTTCTTTTTTTCTCTTTTATTTCTTTTCCCCCCTTCCCACTTCCCCTTTAGCCATTTTCTTCCTGTTTCACACTCCCACTTATACTATTTGAACCTATTTACACTTTTAGTTTTTCACACCAGAGAAACTATTGGGTATTTACTCAAGTATGTCCTATTTATTTCACTTGCATATACATTGAAAATCTTTAGGTAACTTTTTACTTACTTATTTTACTTTATTTTGGTTTTTAGAGATAGGGTTTCACTAGATAACTTTTTAAGTGACAGAATTTGTCAAGAAATAATTTGTGATGTACTTTTTTAAATAGGCCTAAAAAATTAAATGTCTTTGAACATATGTGATTCATTTGTTTCTAGGTAATAAAATTTCTTGTCCCTATACAAAATATAGGGAATATAAATGTTCTTTTATATTCACTGCATGCCTTGCCCAGGTGACTTCTTTTTAAAGTAACCTTTAAATCTTGTGCAGTTATTGAGTTAAAATGGCATTTTGATTGTGGGAAAGGAGATAATATTCATACTGTTTGAAACTAACCTTGATGAAATGATACTGTTGGTGGATGAATTAACACATTTTTTTCCTATAGAAATGTGAACGAACTTTATTTTTTTAATATTATAATTAGTATAAGCTGCCTTTTGTTTTATAAACTAAAAATGTTATTTTTCTTAATTTCTCAGTGTAGTAGTCACTGTGTTTTTATTACATTTTGAATACTTTTTATTATTCCTTCCAAAACAGACACTCCTTGAATATGCAGAGAAATGGAAAACTTCAGAAGATCCCTTACCTTTATTGGAGGTATACACAGTGGCTATCCAAAGTTATGTTAAAGCCCGACCTTACCTTACCTCTGAATGTGAAAATGTAGCATTGGTTCTGGAACGCTTGGCATTGTGAGTAGACCTTGAATAAATAAACTATATTTAGCTAATTTTTTAAAAAACTTTGTGTTTTTGTGGTTATAATAATTTAATTTTAAATAGGTTATGTGGAATCTACTGATATAGAATCAATGATTTGATTTTACACTGAATTTTAATAATTTTTCTGTCCTTATCAACTTTTTGTGTTGTAGAAGCTGTGTTGAACTTTTATTGTGTCTGCCTGTTGAGTTATCAAATAAACAGTGGGAGCAATTTCAGACACTGGTACAGGTAAGGATATTTACCTATTAGGTTTAATATGGGTATATCTTAGTTCAAATTTTCTTTTTCTTACAATTATTTGACTAAATTTTAAAACATTTAAGTAATGACAAATAACAGTTGCTGCTGTCATTAACACTAGTGCTTTGCATTTATATAGTAGGTGCTTAATAAGCAAATGTACACATTTAGATAAATTGACTAAATATTGTACAGTTCCTTAAAGTCGGATAATTAGGGTTTTACCAGAGCAGTAAGGGAAAATGAAAAAATGCCCTCACTTGTTTTGGGGGGAATTTAAGGGAATTTTTAACCCACAAGTAATTTCTGGTAGTGATTTGAAAGAATGTGAGGACATATGAACAAAGCTTAGTACTTTAAGATGTGCTTTTGTAAAAGCATGTTGACAATATTTTATCTGCATTTTGAACATTAAAACAAATATAAAACACAAAAAGCCAACATTAGCACTTACCTTTCTTGCCTTATTTGAATTTAGATATTGAGTATTTTATAGAAAGAAACTTATGAAGTTTCATCAGTGCATCAATTATTCCTTACCAAAACCTTCAGTGAAATTTTAAAAAATTATGTTAAGAGTAGTTATTTCTTTTCTTGAACATTCTAAAACCTGCCGTAAAATGCCCTTATTAGTGTTTAGAAACAGCTTAACTAATTGCTGAAAACCTGTAGCAATTATGTATCTTATTTAATGCAGCAGTAATGTGTCTTATTTAACAATTGTGAAAACTTGTTGAGCTAGGCATGGTTTTCCCATTTTAAAGGTGAGGAAACTGAGACTTAAGCTCTAAGATATTTATCGGTTGCAGTGTTTGTAGGCCATATCATAGAATAGTTGCTTGAACAAGTGCTCTTTATTCACAGTCCATGCTTTTTCTCCAAATTGGAAAACACATGCTTTTGTCTTTTATTTAGTGCTATTGTCGTACTTACGTCCAATACAACACAATTTAGTGTGTATTGTTTTGAAGTATTAATAATGTTAAGTTTTATTTCAAGCACTAGATTATGCTGGCTATATTATTGCTTCAAGTGAATTTTTATTAATTAGGTAGTCAAAAGTATGTTTCTCCTAGCTAGTTTCAAATTGTATAGTTCCCTGTGTTTCTCTAGCCAGCATTCTTAAAATATTTTTTTGGCTTTAAGTTTCTTTGTAAGAAATATTTCAAAGATGATTAGTCTTTAAATTTTAGAAACATGTGAAATGAACTCTAATAAACAGAGATATCCACCTTTTCTATTTTAATATTAAACATTAAATATCTATATCTAGTGCATTGTCTTGGTATTACATGTCTTATGTAACACTATAGGATTCCACATAATGTCTTAAAACATAGTAGATGCATAATAACTATTTGTTGAAATGAAAGTGCCTTGTCTTGTCACATCGCAGCTGTTTGATCTTGCAGTTCCTAGTTTAGCATATTAGTAACTTGTGTTTAGCAACTCCACTCCATGTTTATTTTTAGGTAAATGATTATTTCAGAGTTTTTCATTGCTTTCATAAATATATTGTTTATTCACAAGTACAGTACTGAATGCCACAACTTACTGATTTTTGTTTGCCAGAATAAGGTAAACTTTGAAACTTTAACTTTGGAGACAAAAATACTAGTTGGTATTTTTTTAATACATAGTTTAATGAAGAAATAACATTTTTGAGCTATGCTTCAATCAAACCCAACCTTGTGCATTTTAGGCAAAGTCACTACCATTCAGCTACAACCTCAGCTCCAGGAAATAACTTTTAAGTATGTTCAACTTAAACTTTGTTGAAATAGGAAAATTTTTATGGCTGAGGAATAGTCTTTTTATTTAAACATAACATGCAACAAGAGTCTGTGAACCTTTGTTCTCTCTTTAGAATTTCTCCAAGGTTATTTTATAGTTGCTTTAGAAAGTTTATTTTCCTTGTGTTTTAACTATGGAAACTTTTTTTTTTAATTTTTCTAGTAGAGAATAAGCCCTGTAATGGAAGGAACTAATTACTGTCTTCTCCAATACTTTGCTTATAGAAATTCTTAATTGGCATTTTCTGAATTGAATAGAAACCTTTGCTTTTTCATTGATTGAAGAATATTTTAGTTACATAAGCACTCAGGAACAATTAGTAAACAAGTATTCATATCATTTGTAATGTGAAATTATAAAAACTGTAGCTAATAAATTAAAACCATGGGTTTTATTTTATTCTCATAAATCCCTTTTATTGCAATTTGTGTAAGATGTCAGGGCATGATGCAAATCTTAAAGGTCTTTTATGCTTGTAGATAATCTGATAGCTTCCCAGGGCAACTATTTTTCATTTAGGTTTTGATAAAAATTATATAAACTTTATTATATAAGTGTACCTATTTAAGACTTAACAATTGGTTTATTTTTTATCTTTGAGGTCCATCCTTAAATATCAAAAGAAATTCAACACTTTGTAATGTGACACAAGATTTTTAAGATTAAAATATTTTCAAAAGTTTAGTTATTTAAAACCTAATAAGCTTGCTTTAAAAATCTGTTGTAATTCTTTGGATGTTTATTTAATATTTGTAGGTAGCTCATGAAAAGCTGATGGAGAATGGCAGCTGTGAATTACATTTTTTAGCTACTCTAGCTCAAGAGACTGGGGTGTGGAAAAACCCGGTACTGTGCACTATTCTTTCCCAGGAACCATTGGATAAGGATAAAGGTAAATTTCCTAGAGAGAGAGGGGGAGAAAAAAATTACTAGGTTAGAAAAATTAAGTATTTAAAGTTGCTTAAATATGATTAATTTCAAGCTATCCCAAAGAAAGTCCATTTAATTAAATTTCACCAGAGATACTTGAAGCTTGTCACCTTTATTTTATTTGGGGGAAGATGTATTTGTAAGACTATAAGCCATGTGTTGTGGCATATTCCTGTAGTCCCAGCTCTTGGGAGGCTGAAGCAGGAGGATCACAGTGAGTTTGAGGCCGATCTGGGAAAACACAAGATTATAGAGTCTTAGAGTATTAGATAACTGGAATTATTTTTTAATGTCTTGAGCAGAAGAGTTCCTTCTGCAAAGTCTTCACAGATGACAGTCTAGCTCACATTTGATAATAAGCTTATCTGACAGATAGGAAAGCAGAAGTAGAGTGGTTAGGTGGTTTACCTCAAAATACAATAAGAAATTATTGTTAGAACTCTCAGATCTTCTGTCTCTAAGATTAGTACTCTCTCTTAACTTACTGCTCAATTTTATTTTTTGTCTTGTTATATGAGCTCAGGTAGTAAAGACCTCAATTAAACTCAGGTATTCTCTCAGAAGTAGATAACTAATTCACTAAAATATGTAACAGTATTCAGATTTTAAATTGTGAATATCATGAAGAAAATCATGGTTGTCTCCTATGTTCATTTCTTGAGACTTTTGCAAAGTATGCCCAGATTGCATCATGACCTTTCCCTAGTATTTAAATGGATAAATAAATGAGAAAAACTTAGTATTTCCAATCAAAAAAGATATATATTTACTACTCTCTGCTCCTTCCATTATTTATTGCTGCTTTTCTTATTGACTGATGGCAAACTCTAGGTGATTCTGCTGTGTGACAGCAGTAATGAAGGCCATAAGAGGGAGGTGTTAAGCCAGTTCTTTAGGAGCTCCTCTGGTACTGTGATACTTACCAAAAGCTTTCCCAATTCATCCTTGAACTTTTCTCCAAGCTGTTTGTTCCATCCTTCCTTCTTATTTTTCCCATGCTTTCCTGATAATTCTATGAGTGTTAGCTGTTTCTTAGTTCTCACAAGAATTTTTTTTTTGTATCCCCTTCATGGATATCCACAGATTAGCAGTAATTCTCTCAGGACCTCAGCGAAATGGAAAATATATCATCATTTAACAAATAAATCAAACAAAAGAAAACTAAAAAAAAAAGAAAATATATCATTATTTAAAAACACTAATAAATGATAATAAATTAAAAGTTGAAAATCTTAGGTGTTTTTGCCTTTGACATAGTTTATGCCTCACAGCTGAGCACCAATATGATTCATTTCTAGCATCAAATGATACTTTCTAATTTTCTCAACTTTTGGAAGCATTAGATGTGATACATTAGTAGTATCTAGTTTTATCATTTTTTTTTTTTTTAGAGTATGGAAAATGCTTTTATGTTCATGGTTTAATTTAACCTTCACAGTGATCCTATGGTATAGGTAGGATCTTTATTGTTCCTTTTCTCTGTTTTATGGATGAGAAAATGGAGACTTAAAAATATTAGGCTTGCTAGGTGTGGTGGTACATCATTGTGATCCTAACACTCTGGGAGGCTGAGATAGAAGGAACACAAGTACAGCTTGGGCAATTCAGTGACTTAGCAAGACCCTGTATCAAAATAAAAGAAGAACAATTAAAAATGCCTGGAGATACAGCTCAGTGTTAAGACCATGGGTTCAATCCCCAATACCACAATAAAACAAAACAAAACAAAAAACCCCCACAACTTTTCTGTATCACTATACTATTGATGAAAGGCAGAGCCAGGAATTAAAGCCAGATGTGAAACCTCTACCATCTAGTATTAATGCTCTGTTCTACCTAGCCTAGTAAAATTGACCTAACCTAAGTAGAGGATTAGTTGCTTTCTTCTGTTGTCAACTTCTAAATACCATTTTGCCAAACTCATATACTATGTAAATGCAGGAAAAAGGAATCTATCTACCTTGTCAGAAATTTAAACTATGTTTTAAAAGACAGTGTACTCAGTTTCCTTGTTTGAATGTGCCTAACATTGTACCTGTAACAGATGTATTTGCCTTTTTTTTCCTACTGTTTTTTGTTTTGTTTTGTTTTGTTTTTTCTTGATCTTTACCTGACTTAGCAACTGGAATAATTTGGACTATGCAGCCAGGAAAAGCTTCTGCAAAACAGTCTGATTATAGTAGCCAGATTCTGGTTATAGCTTATGAAGCACCCAGAGATGTTATGTGATTTGAGAGAGTTTGCAACCGTAATTTTTACTTGGTCTTCTGTTATTTATAGTGTTTCATTGTTATATAATCACATGAACCAAAGAATATATTTATTTACTTCTTTGGAAAAATTGAGGGGATTTACATTTTGTGCCCACATACTAATTTGTTTACATTTTTGAATTTGGGGACTCAAAGATTAGACACATTATATTTTGTATCTAGTCCCTTGATTTAGCTTAATCTAGTCTATATCAAGTTTGCAAAATAGAGTAACATTTCAGAATAATGAATGTACTTTTAAAAACTATACTCATTAATTTATAGTGAAGCCTTTGAAGTTTTGGTGTAGCATTTGAATACCGGGTAAAATCCATCATGAATTGCTTTGGTGTTTTTTTTTTTTTTTTTAATTGATTAAATTTGGACTTACTAAATTCTGTTTATTATTTTGGGTTGTTTTTGTTTTAGGTTCTCTCTTTGTAGTTCAGGCTGGTCTTAAGCTCACTGTGTAGCCTAGACTGGACCCAAACCCACAGTAATCCTGCCTTGCCTCCTAAGTGCTGGGATAACAGATGTGTGCCACCATTCCCAGCTAAATCTTATCTAAACCAAAAGTATTCTTTTTAATTTGGAAGAGTGAGGGTAGACAGAACTGAAATGCTGGTTTAACTTTAAGGTTTTAGCATCCTAGAATAAAGTAGCACAAGTAGACGGTTTTGAATAAGGGATGTTTATGCTTTGTTAACATATTATTTGTGTCATTAGTCATAATCTCTGGATTGGAAAGGCAGTTAATACTCAGTTGTCACCCAGTTTTAACTCTCCCTACAACATCACTGAAAAACAAAATTATATAAATACTCCTAGAGAATGGTAACTATGTAGTTCAGTCTGTTCTTAGCCTGCTGTTAGAAAATCCTCATTGTAAAAACTACATTTGTAGAGTTCCATCTGTTGGTTCTAGTGTTATTCCTAAAACTGTAGCAGATAAAAGTATAAATCCCTCTTTCATTCCAGAAAATTGAAATTTTTCAAGAATACCATATATCTGTGCTTAGACTTTTTAAATGTAGACTGAAACCTTTCTGTTGTGGCATGATTTTAAATCTACAATCATGATTCCTTATGTTCATTTTATATTTGTACTTGTTCTTTTAATGTGTAATTCTCAACACTTAATCTTTATCCTAAATATGATTCGGTGAGCTTTAGTTCAGTGATCCCTTCATCCTCTTTATCTTAACAATTTCTACTTTAGTATGACCTAAGATGACATTACCTTTTTGAGTAACCATATCATTCTCACAACTCAGCAAGGTTACTAAAATCACACATAATTTTTTTAAACAAAGAATATTTTTAAATTATATTTTTTAATTTAATTTCACTGTGTTTCATCCATTCTTTCTCCTTAATTTGTCGAGATCTGCTGAATCCTTCATTATTCTAAGTTTTTGTCCTTCCGATTTTCCTTTCTCTAGTAGATTTTATTGAATAAGGGCACCCTTTTGTATTCTGGGTCCTTGATTATAACTATGAAAAGATCATGTCTAAAAACAGACCCTTGATACTTGCCTTCAGCCCATTTTACCTGTACCCTTTTATTACTGTTATTTTATCAAATATACCTGCTTAGGTTTTCTTAACCTAATAGTTGTCCTGTTTTTTCTATAAGGATTTGATGAAAAATGATAATTAGTGGCTGGTTAGAGTTTTTTTAAGTATGAATGTTTAATATTGAAGTTAACCTAATTATTATTTTTCAATTAAACCTTTTATTTTTGAAAGATTTAGATTTATGGAATAATTAGAAAGTCTTTTCCCACAACCAATATATGCCCCTCATCATTACTAACATCTTATATTAGTATGGTACATTTGTCACAATATTGATACCTTGTTATTAACTAAAGTCCGAACTTTGTTCAGATTTCCTTAGTTTTTACCTAATGTCCTTTTTCTGTTCCAGGATCCCATCCAGGATACCACATTACATTTAGTCGTCATGTCTTCTTAGGCTCCTCTTGGCTGTGACAGTTTTTCAGACTTTCCTTGTTTTTGATGACCTTGACAGTTTTGAGGAGTACTGGTCAGGTATTTTGTAGAATGTCCCTCGATTGGGATTTGTCTGATGTTGTTGTTATGATTAGACCTGGGTTATGGGTTTTTGGGAAGAAGACCACAGGATACCATCATATCAAGGCTACGTATCAATATGAAGTATCCCCATTGATATGAACCATTACCACCCAGTTAAGATACTATGTGTCAGGTTACCTCTTCCATGCTGTGCTTTTTGAAGTACTTAAGGGGGAGGAAGTTGTGTTCAAGATCTACATTTGTTATTTAGAATTCTACACAGATTTGTCTGATCTTCCCTATTTACTTACTTATAGTCATTTACTTATATAGATATGGACTCATGGATATTTATTTTCTACTTTGGTTGTAATCCAACACTAATTGATTTATGCTCAGATTATTCCAGCTTTAGCCAGTGGGAGCTCCTTCAGGTGCTTCAGACTTCTATATCTCATTGACATAACCCTGTCATCATCGTGACTTTTTGTGATTTTTGTTTGAGCTACTTCCTAGCTTTCTGACATTATAATATACACCAGTCTCAACTTCCATATTTCTTGGCCCAACTGTAAAATCAGGAATTTTTCCAAGGATCCCTGCTTCCTTTTATTGGAGAATGATATTGGAAACCATATATGGTCACTGGGTGTGCTTGTTGTTACTGCAA